AAGTGGTCTTTAATTTTATTAATATTATATTATCTGCAAGTAGTTGTTTGAAGTACACTACAAGTGCACATTCAGTACATTTGAACACTTGCGCACTTACGTTGAGCAGTTCTTTTCCACAAGGCTGAACCAGCTAAGTTTTTAAATATGCTAATTGTAACATTGTTAAGTGTAATGATAAAGTCAGGTAACTATTTGTTAAGGTCCATTTGCACCACGATGAATCAAAACAACATATATTTCACAGACAGACATTCACACCACAGATATTCACACTCTGAGCATCACAGGTTTTTACAGAGAAACGTTTGCACTAGAAATGTGAAATACAATCCTGCCATTCATTAGTAGACTGCAGCTGTTTATAAAAAATATCTACCAACATGATGCAAAGATGCTTCTTGATTGTACATCAAATGTTCTCACTCATTATGAAAGGGTCCACTGAGATTGAACTGTTTGGTTTCTAATTCCGTCACAGCAAAAATGCTTGGTCTCATTAGGCAGTTACCTGCTGTCAAATTAATAGCAATTTAGTCTAATTATTAAAAAAAAAATAATGTGATAAAATATTAATTAAATCTAAAATTATTACAGGATGTAATATTTAATCTAAAATTAAATATTACATCCTGACACGTTGCTTCATTCATTCTATGAATGTATCAGCTTATAATAATTTGATTGTTGATTTGACATGGCTAATAAATGTATGTCATCAGTACTGAAATAATAGTAAACTGCATTAATACTCTTCTTCTCTCCAGCATGTGGTGTTTGTGGTGAAGTTCTTTGTGGCGTGGTTGATCCCCGACGTGCCGTCAGACGTGAAAGCCCGTACAAAGCGCGAGCACTACCTCATCCAGGAGTACCTGCACGACTACGAGCTGGAAAAACTCAAAATCCAGCTCAGCCAGAACGGTCCGAACATCGAGCCGTGCACGTGTCCCGCCACAGCCGCCACGTCAGTGAAGCTGGAGGTGTTTTCAGACTGTCTGAGCTAACACAGGCCTGACCTTGACTCTAACACCTGAAAGCTTTCACTCAGCCCATGTCTCAAACCAGTCCTCTCGGTCTCATCACAAAATCACACGCCACTGGTTCCTCATATCTCACTGATTATGTTCGATAATCTTTTCACACCACATCCACTGTTTGGGATATTCCTCGACAAATCACTCCCATATTACGTCTCCCAGAGCCCTCATTGTGACCTCAAAGAGATGCCTACATAAGGGGAAAGTTCGTCTAATAGAATAAGAGAGATGAAGTATAATATCTTTTACATGTGTTTAGATATACCTAAAGCCACATGAGCTGTAACTCAGTTTCTGTCTATGCAGATTGGCACTTTCACTCTTCAGGAACAATTACTGTAGGTTTTCTCACGCTTTCCTCGTCAATGTTTTCTGTTGATGTCTCTGTAAGCCACTACAAACATACAGGACAGACTGTTTATGGTCTGTGTGACGCACTGTGTGAAAGTCTGGCAGTTGAAATGTTAGATTTCAGCCCAAAACCAAACTGGGTCAAATATAAACTGGACATTTCAGGATTTGTGTGATTCACTCTGAATTCCAGCATAGACTAGTGTCTCCTTCACACAGCGTCAAAATACAAGAACTCAGCGACAAACTTTATTGCTTAGAATGCCTTTAAGCTACCAAAGATTAAAATGCCTTAACATCATAGACATATGCATGGATCCTTTACATTTTAAATATTAAACACTTCTATTTACTGTATGTTCAGAATTCATGTACAAAGAATTTTATAATTATTATTACACACTGGCGTGTTTTTTTTGTTTTTGTTTTTTTTAATTTAGTGTATTTTCTTTTATGATCAAAATTGTACAATATTTGACAAACTGCCACTCACATTATTTTGCAGTATTATGTCATAGCTTGATGCAGCACCTTTTTTAAAGCATCCTATAATACTAGATTTATTTTATTTGCTGGAAATTGTATGCAAAAAAAGAGGTTCTATGCTAAAAATGAGTAAATATGCACACTACACTCTTGCTGTGCTGTTTTGGTGACGGAGGCGTTGAATCTTCACTCGCACTATTTATAAAGCAGTTATCACTCTGTGTTCATAGTTAAAGGTAATCTGCACTTCAAAGCTTTACATTGATGGACAGGAAACAAACTCTTCTCAAAGCCAAAGTTGCTCTGGTGATTTGAAAGGCAAAGCTAATATCTTTTTAATGTGCCTTTATCAAAATGCTAAATCCATGCTGAGTGTTTATTTGTGTTTCCTTTACAATTCATTTACTGTGTTGTCCTGGTCAGAAGGACGGCGTCACTTTGAGTTTGTTTTGCACAAAGCACTTAATGAGGAGTAATTTATCTCAGTGTTATTGAAGCAAGATGTGTGACAAACAACCCTTGTATTTATAATATGCCAGTCTGATCATTCGTTTGGCATTGGACTAAAAGCTTAAGAAACTTCAAATCAAATAATTATAACGAGGACCATGAACAGCTGGCAGTTTGACATGTCTATTTACTAATGATGATGACAAATCTTAGCATGTGCGTTTTGCTGTTATTTGTGACTTGAATATTTAATTTGGAAATCATGAAGTTTTTCTGTAAATGTTTTGTTTTCAGTCTCTGGTTTAAATATGAAGAATTTAGTCACTGTTTTGTCAGTTGTAGAACTGTTATTCATAAAATATTTGACTGTTGATTTATGTAGCTGACAATCTGCGAGCTGTGCTATGAGGTGAAAAGCCATTTATTTATCAGTCAAACATTACCTGACCTTTTTGACACATCAGCTAGAAGTTGAAGTTATAGAGCTGTTCTGGGTGATCGAATGATCAACGGTTATGCCTTAACCTTTATCTGTGTTTTTCTTTACGAACACTGTTTGAAGTTGATTTTTGCCTGTTTTTATGCATGGTTATTTTGGATGTGGATATGAATCTGAGTGTGTTTTTTCTGTTCTGCTAATGTACAAGAAATGTACTCCGTTTTTCATTCTTTAGGCAAACTATTGTCATCCAAATAAACTATGGAATCCACCAGAGACTCTGTGGTCTTTAATTGTTGTGGACGTTGCTTTGAATTCTTATGTAAAAATTTCAGGGGCTTTGAGAGAGGGTAGGACAATTATATTTCATATATATATATATATATGACAACGTATGCTTCATAGTTAGTCCATAAGACTGATGGGTCAGTACTGCACATGCGATTTTAATGTGATTTATGACATTACTTTCACAGCATTAAAACCACCTTTGTATTGTTATGTAGGTTTCCCTTGTGCTGCTAGAACAGCTCTGATTCATTGAGGCATGGACTCCTCAAGACACCGAGACATTAGCAGCAGATCCTTTAAGACAAGTCCTGTAAGTTGTGGGCCTCCCTGGATCGGGTTTGTTGGTCCAGCACATTCCAGAGATGCTCAATCAGATTGAGATCTGATGAATTCGGAGGCCAAGGCAACACCTTGAACCCTTTGTCGTTCCTGCAGACTAAATTAAACATTGATTTAAAAATTGCGAAAATTCTACTTCCATTTTAAGCTAATTTAGCTTTCGTTTATGGTGACATTAAGTTATAAAAAGCCAAAAATATATATTATATTAACCTACATTAAGGAATAGTTTGGCATCTGTGTAAAAATGTATTGAATAAATACTGTGGTCTTTAAGTAATCTTTTTACTTTGTGTGAATGTTTGTGTCTGCAAAAATAAATGTTTTTATTTATTAATATGAAACAAAAAAAAAATTAAGGTTTGACCAAACTAATAAATTTGGCTGTAGCAAATAAATATCTAAAAGTAACCTTTTTTCCAGTGTACACTATTTATACATTAAACATTTAATACAGTATACAGACATTGATATTGTTAGTAGTATACGATTAATTTGGCCCACAAATTAATCAACATTATTTTACATAAAAAGCTGAAACAGAAAAGCATGCGAATTTCACACAAAGACATATTTGCACGAATTGCAACGTTGAGATATTTATCAATAATTTAACAGATCCGGGCAAGCAAACGACATTGACTCCTGCATGTGCCGACCTGTCTTTGAGCGCCCGCTTGTGGTCATTATTCCTATTACAAAACACAAGAGTCATTTTTCATGCCCTACCCTTAAAGGTGACATATCATGAAAATCTGACTTTTCCAGGTTTTAAGTGCTATAATCAGGTCCCCGGTGCATCTACCAACCAAGGAAACGTGAAAAAGATTAACCCAGTA